ATCAAGATAGTCGAAACGCGCATCTCATACCAGGTAGACACGCGATAATGCAAGCGAAGGAGGGTCACCTTTAGTCTATTCCGCGACTCAACCGAGTTTTCATTCGGCCATTATGAACCTGCCTCTAAAATTCCATTTTGCGTCAGGCACATCGACCTGCCCCGTCTTCTTAACGTCTGCTCCGGTACGCACGGTAGTATCTATGCAACAGCAGTTAATTCGTCGCACGTAGTTCCACTCAATAGTGTAGGCTTAAATTTGTGAGCCCAATCAGTGAAATATACCGCTATAAGACCTCATTGTCCAAATAGCATGGTTTAGCGTGTGCCCATGTGAGCGAGTGTACGTGCCCATCTACGGTGACGCGTATGCGGATAGGAGCCCCCCAAATTGCAGCGATGCACAGTTGATTCCATATCTAATTCTTTTTTGAAGCGCGCTACGCTCTGTAGGTGCGTCAACACCCATAGTCAGCTTACCGTATGTGCGGCCCCAAAACCCCGCACCGTCAGTCAGTATACAAAACTATACGGGGTAAGGGGCTATAAGAATGTATATCCAAATCACCTGCTCTTCTGCTGCTTCTTTTGCTCGATGTACTTGACGTTTCGGGCGGTCAGCATGCGATGGCGGCTGCGCCTCTTTTTCTTCTTGGGGTACCAGTCAGGACCCATCGCTTTCTTGACGTTTGCCAGGCTTTCCTGGCGGCGCACTTTGGTCGAATCAGGTGGTGGGAGCTTTTCCTCCCAGAACTCAACCGCCTTTGGGCCGTTCTCGCAGGCAATACAGCGCCGCACGATATTCTGCCCGCTGATTGTACGGATCGTACGGAGCACATAACCGTACTGCAGCTTCCCACAGCAGACACAGCGCACCCAGGAATCCGTCGTAGACCGCTGCGGGCTGAGCAGAAGCGGGTCAATCTTCGCCTCGCATTGCTTGCACACAGGGCCCACCATTTTGCAAACTGTAGCAAAATATATTGCTCTAACCAATCACTTGCGTCCAAATATTAGCCAATAGCACGGTACTGTAAGGGTGGAATTTATTCATTTAGGCAAAATAATAAAATGTTTTTATACTATTACTATTTGGCTTTGCCCTAATAATAATATTATCAGATTTCCAAACAAATACATACTTTACATGCAATATAAATTGACTAAAATCACTATGTACCGTGCGCGCATGCATTCGTCGGGTGCGGTGCACGTGAGCAGATAGTGCAATGACCGTGCAGCCGCGCGCCTTCATTGCACGGTGACAGTGGTGAGTGCCAGGTGAAGTAAAAAAGATATATATCACAAAGTCCCTACAAAAAGCGCTGGTCGTGAAGCCTACTTTAACATTAAAAAATAGTATCGTCTCTACCTTAGAAAATGTGTGGAAAATAGCATTGCCGAGCTCTTACAAATGCGGTCTGTGAAGCTTATATTAAGCATATTAGTACTATTAATATGGTCATTACTTGAAAAAGTGTCTGGAAAATAACATCCCAGAGCTCTTACAAAATACTGGTCTGTGAAGTCTACATTAATAATAATAAATATCTCTATTTGAAAAGTGTGCAGAGCTCTTAGAAAATAAAGCGGTTACTGTGCCCGATTTGCAGTACATACGACAGGTTTTGCGCAATAATCAAGTATCTGCTGGCTGTTTGCAACCAATCGATGCGTTTCGTGCTCGGCAGAAATGTTTACCTTACGTCCAATCGCGAGGGAGAGAGGCGGTCTGATCGTGCGACAGATCCAGTCAGTGTCGCAGGTCGGCAGGTATTGTTCAATCAGGGCGCGAGTTAATTGTGTGACGCTTTTGGATATATTTGTAATTTTGGCATAGTTAGGTCGAGTCAGAAAGATAGGTGCGGTCGGTAGGATGGGAGGAAACTGTATAAGACAGGCCGAGTGTAGCAATGCGGAAAGGCAGGTCAAAGCAGGAAGACAGGGAGTGCGACGGACGGATTGACAGACGGACGGGAGACAGACAGACCGCAGGTTACAGTACAAGGTTAGATTTTCTTACTCACTTCGATTTTCCCCTCCTGGTACCGAGCAACCCATCATATCTATGCGCGTGCTGTGTTTGGCGCTGATGGCGACGGCCACTGTTCTAGTACCGAGTCCTGCGTCCGGTTTGACCACGACTGTGGCTGACACGGCCCAGACGGCAACCAGCATTCTAACTCCTGTTCTAGCTGGGGAGCCGAACAAACACGTTGCAACGCGATCTTTGAGAACGCATCCGATAGACGACAGCGACGATGGCGAAGAGCGACTGCTTAATGGTATGACAGATTTTTTCAAGTACCACGCTGGAAAGATGAGTCCCGAGCAGCTTTACAAGTACTTAAACTTAAAAGGACTTGGTCAAGAAGCCTACAAACACAAGAACTACGCTAGTTACATTAAGAAGTCGAAGAAGTGGTGGAAGAACCAGTAAGACCGTAGTTTCAAGAGTTTTGAAGGATGGTTTATCAATTGAGTTGAAGCAATTGAAGACGCTAAGAAAAAATGCTAACGCTGGCTTAGTTCGGTTCGTTTTGTCACTGGACTTCAGTGCATTCCTCGTGTGCTTGGGGTTTTGCTTTTGTTTGTGGGGATGTAGATTTCTTGAGTGTTAAAAAAATTACAATTTTTAGTACAAGTACTACAGTAGTAAGCAGCACGAATATCCCTCCTGGGAGAGGATACTAACTGAAAGCGGGTCATAAAAAAATTAACTCCTCGTAGCGTCAGAGTTCTTGACAATATATCGTCACATACCCCCCCCCCTCTCCATATCGGTAAGAAAAACGAGGTATTTCTCGATAGTAGTATAATTTACGTGATTTTAATTCGCAACCTACACGCTAAATCATACTAGCGCCATGCTCCACACGTAGAATCTCTGAACGACATCACCACCCTCTCCGCGCATTGAGGAAATCAGAATTGAATTTTGGACGAGATTAAACAAAAATGCGTACTTAAATGAATCCTCTGCTAGTAAGAATTTAAATCCCAATAACATATACATGTGCTGCCTTTAAGGTCACGTCCGTCCGCGAAGCACACTCTCCACGAGCTCCTGTTTAAATTTGCTCCAATGTGTATCTCGGACTAACTGCTCTAACAGATTCGAGTTTCTTCTCCCTCCAGGTGGACCTCGTAACCGTGACAAGTCTGTCTTGTACTTATGTTTGTTCATCAAGGCAATGTCCTGTAAATTACGATGTAGTTGCGAACGGCTATCAGCAGAGAATCCCTGCATGATATCTGCAGCCGACAAGAACAGAAGCTCTACTGTAGAGACCGATATCAACGCTGCCTTGGCGCAAGATATTCCATGAATCTGCTGTTTTTCTTGTCGAGACTGGCGCGGTGGAACCCAGGATGATGACGCACAAAAACATTCTCCACGTCGCAGTGCCAGCGCAACCGGTTGCGTTGGCGTTGTCCCCCTTCCAGTCCCCATACAGTTGATAGCGACACTTGTTCGCCTGGTATTGGTTGATTTTGGTCGTGTAGTGGCAGCTCGCAGA